ATCACAGATAGACAAGACCAGGTCGAGTCCTCTGGATAGAACGCCGTACATCAACGGTCTCACAGCGCGCCGTTAAGACGTAACCGCTGTCGTTTCGCTAACAAGCAGCTAACGAAATCCTGACGAGAACGAGGTTAGGCTTAACCAGACGTAATCGTCACACTACGGTACGGACTAAGGGGTTGTGTCGATGGTTCTCATCCTATGCTCCGAGTCCTACATATCCCCATTGAAAGAGCATAGGACTAGTACCACGAGCAATTCGAGGCGTATACGCCGAGTTCTACTTCTAGAGGCAACTTATCTTCTAATCGTAAAAGGTTCGAGCTCATTATAGGCAACGCTTATGAGTGTTTTCAATCGACTTGCATGCAAGCCTCACTCATATGGAGCTTCTAACACTATTCTACATCGAAGGCTGTCTAAAGTGGACTATGTTGGAGCCGTTAAAAACCCCCCCAGGGTCCTTTGGCTTCTTTCTTGGACCCGCCTTTTGCAGTGGGGAAAAGGTACTCCAACGTGCTTCGATGTAGAATCGTGAAGAAGACCATGCGGCGCGCCGTCAATCTGCAGATGGGTTCAAACCAGTTGCAGGATCATGCCCGGCTGAGGCTCATATTCGAGACCATAAAAAGCGCCAATTCGTGTTAGGGAGAAACAAGTGCGACTTGGATGATAAAATCGGGATAAAATCATGCCCATCCGTAAAGAGTAGTTCGAGATACCAAACTTGTACATAACAATTTTCTTAAGAAGGCAAATCGGTTTGAAGGTTGCTAGTGCTTCAGTTAAGTCTAGGTGAATGCATCATCTAAATTGTAACCTTCAAGAGAGCAATGAACTGGTCCCCCAATAAACGATGAGTTTCAAAGGGATATCAAAGGTAGCGAGTAGTTCATCAAGTCTCGAAATGTTCAACGGAGAGGTAGTTGAATCAGAGGAGGATGTTTGGGGGCTCAAGCAAAGTGTCCGCTTTCCATCAACTCAAAACATATCAACAGAAGATCACCAAGTCATCACAGGTCACCAGAAGCAGATCCGCATCTTTGACTTGTTGAAAGAGGGAGCTCGGGTTTCAGGGGACGATTTCAGATGATTCTAGTACTCGTTTGCGGTATTCAATCCCCGGGGTGGCAACTCCCGTTTCAAAACATGTCCTCTTGAAACTAAAACAAGTCATTTGGCTTGCTTCGCTTGTTTAAAAACACTTTTAAAACGTTTAAAAAAAAAAGGCCCTTTGCGGACCTTATATAAATATCTTATGTCTTCTTTTCGGTGTTTATATGCATATTGTAACTGCACACAACGAATGAAACCCGCTTATGTCAAATAAAACAGGAAATTGTACGTTTCAAAACGTTTTGGTCGATTTTCTGTTTCAAAACACTGGATATTTGGAGCCCCATCTTGCACGCACATGTCTTACAGGTGTTTTGACTGTTTTAATCTGTTTTGAAACCGTTTTAAAAACAAAGGGGGGGTCCTTTTTACAAAGTGAGGGGTGTTTTACGCTCCTCTCGATGAGCTCTATCTGCTGGTTGCATTTAAAACTTCGTTGCACTTCGTTTGAAGATGTTTTGGAGATTAAGAAAACTAAAACAAGCAGTGTTTTAAAACACGAGTTGCCACCTCGTGATTCAATCATGTTTCATTGAATGGAAAGCAAAGCCTAGACAGGGCAGAGCTGCTTTGATTGAGAAGAAAAGTCTAAGGCGCGTCTGACGGACTCAAAGCCCAGCATATGGTTAAATGTTCAAGCAGATCAACATTCGCCAATTGAAGGGCTCCAAGCATTGATCCTGCCAGATTGCCTTGTTGCAGGCCCGTCTTAGTCCAACTTCAATATATCTATAGTTTCTCACATGTAAGAATGCAACAATTTGTCTATCATCAACCAATTAGCTTCTCAATTCAAGCAACAAGAGAGGAGCATATGCAAAAAAGATGCAAAACGAGAAAAGGATTCAATGTTGCTGGAAAGAGGATTTGTCGAGAAGCTATAAATGTAACTGACTCAGGCTGCCTGCGGCGGCTTCAATACGGGGTGCCTAGTTCTAATGACCAAGTTGCAAGAGGTTGAGGGCTCCACAGTAATGCTTCAAAGTCAATACAAGGTAGTCGATCTTCTAGGCTGCAGTCGGTTTTGTAGTAAGTTCAGCTCAACATGTCACTAACATGCTCCCATTGAGCCAGCGCCTTCTCAGATTGATCAGACTTCGAAGCAACTCTATTATGTGATGCTGATTGATTAATTGCTCTCAACTTAACTTCTCAGACCAGACTTTGAGCCAATCAGAACATCAACCCATTTCTTACTTGAATTGCAAATGAACTGAAACAAGCTCGTCAGTAAGTCACGCTCCACTTCGTTTAAGTTCTACCAAGGACGAAAGGAGCCATTAAGTATTCAGAATTACTAGAATATGTAAACAAAGCAAAGCAGAAGCACAACCTGCTCACTGCCAATGATGAACAATGTTGCTATAAAAGCGTAGGGCTCCGAGGTCAGTGTGTTAGGAACTTAGCTCAAAAACGTCCACCTCAATGCGGGCTCGACTCATGGCAGCCCAGATGCAATGCTTCATCCAGCTGCAAAGGTTCCATGAGACTGTCATCTCTCTGCCGGTTCAGTGTTCGCCCGCTGTCTGGCAAAAACTTGCTCAAACAGTGGGGAGAAAGGCTTTTAGAGCATTGTGGGTAATGCATGAGATTTGGTTAGAAAGTTAGCACCTGGTAAGGCTTCTGAAGCCGTTTAGCAAAGCTCTTCAAAGCTTTAACAAGCTCCAATTTTGATGTGCTCAAGCGGCCACAGTTCGCTGTTGGAGCGAGGCTTTTCGGCAGCCATTGTTGCGCCAGCAAGCGCCCTCCGGAATTTGCGGTCGGTCGGTTGGTCCACGGGATCACCGCGCTCCAGGCGGGTAGCCGAATCTCGATTTCGGCCATACTGATAGCGCATTGGCTTCGTATATTCTGGGTCTCCGAAGCCACGGTCCACCCATCGGACGGTTCAGATCATTTTGATCCAATATAACGATGTCATGCTGACGCAATCAGAATGGCATGGCTGCCAAACTCAATGAGCTTCCTCGTTGGACCTAGGATGCTGTTAGCAACGGCAGGCGCAGCTCATGCTTTGCAAGATACACATAGATTAAGCTTCTGACTGTGTAGTGTAATCAAAATGCAAGCTATGAACACTTTTTCCAGCTTCAGAGATGGTCATTTACCCCTTGTGCCAAGGCTGCAAAGTGTATCGTATGGTTTTCGGAACTTCGTAAAAGCACTCAATTCTGCCCTTGTAGCAAGCCACTTGCAGGCTGTTCCGCAACCAAGAAGCACAGAATTTGTCTTGTATCAGCTACAGCATGCCAATGGGACATGGATTTTGCAAGCAAAGGAAGCATGGAGCTGCATTGTGGTGCCTCAAGCCTGAGATGCCATGGCTTCCGCCATAGCAACCAGCTCAAATCACGACCTCTCCAGCTTTGTCCCTGTCCAAGTCTGACCCTACAGTCGACTCACGGTCTATTTAGGCTGTTTAGGCTCCTTCTTCTCCGATTTTGACACCCCGATCGAGCGGTTCTGAGATCGATCTTTTCAATCGGACGGTTCCGCTATCACAATTGCGGATCCCTCAGGCAAAACAAGATTTGGCTACCCACCTGCTCGTGCCATGGTGGCCCAGCGTCCGCTGCTTGCTGTACGGGCAGTCTAACGGATGTCGCGGACCCGAGGTTTGTAGAAACGGCACCCGCAACCGACGAATGCTATATTTTCGTAAGGATTGGTGGCACCGTCAACTGCAAAACCGGCCCAAGTCCGGCAATGGCAGTCCAGCCTATAGCAAGACTCGAGACTCGAGAGTGGCCCAGACTCGGACTGAGAGAGAGTTGCCGCAAACCTTGAACTTGAAGTTGAAGTTGGAAGAACTGAAGTTGTACCTGTTGTACTACTACAAGTCTGGACATCAAATTTTTGCTGCAGCCATGGTGCAATCTTCTTGAGATCCGACGAGTTGCGACTCGCAAGCTTGCATGCTGCTTGAAGTTGCATGGTGCCCCTGGGGATGCGCTAGGAGACGCTCCCAGAAAGGCGGGACGGGCAAGATCTAGTTTTGTTGTGATGTAAATATGCTGTGGCTGTTTTAAGAGGAAGCCAGCGACAATGGCATTGTGATCAGAACGCCCTTGCAAACGGGCGCAGCAGGCTGTTGGATCCTCTTCCTTGTTAGAAGCCGACTCTGCGCTTGCGGCCCCCCATGATGCGCTGGCTGCTTGTCCCTCTGGCCTGCTGCTGCCTGGCGGCGCTGCTCCCTGGCTGCACCGCTGCCGGGCGCGGGGCGCAAGTGGGCCATGAGGATAGCGCAGAGACAGCAGGGGTCGGCCCCGCAGAACTGACCATGGCCATGTTCAACCACTCGATGACCGCAGCGGAGGCGCCCTACACCCTGTGCGAGTTCTTTGCCTCCTGGTGTCCAGCGTGCATGAACTTCAAGGTGCGGCCCAGCACCGTCCAGCCAGACTCTTAGATCTGCTTCATAATGGGGTGCTGGTGAAATGTCTTCTATTACTATGAGGAAGTGAGCAGCAGTTGCCTGCCAATATTTGACTCTTGATAGCTGTAGCAGAGGATTGCCTACTGTGTTTTATCCTTCTTTTATCCTCTTTGCAGCCGCAGTATGCCAGGGTTGCTGCGCTGTTCAATGCTGCGCCCCCTGGGGAAGGTTTTGTGTACGTGGCGGCAGTGGACTGCGCGACAGAGGTACGAAGCAACAAACATCTTTAGTTCAGTCCTGCTCTTGAAAGGCTCTGATAAGTGCGTGATGTGGTCGATTCTGTATCATTTGCAAATGTGCAAGTATGGCTGGCTGCTGCCTTGCCAGGCTGTCCTTGATGCTTGCCACACCCACCACCTGCCTTGTGTGCCCCCCCCGCTCTTGGCTGCAGACTGCGCTCTGCCAGCACTTTGGCGTGGACCGCTACCCCACCCTGCTCTGGGGGGACCCCCGCCAGTTTGCCACCAACCTGCGGCCTGGGTCCGATGCGCGGGCGGGCCTGGCCGTGGCGGAGACAGCCAGGACTGCAGAGGCAGTGCTGAACTGGATCAACGAGAAGACACACCAGTGAGCATAATGGGAGAGGGCATGGGGGTGGCTGGCAAGGGACCAGAGTTGACCAGCAGGGATGACTGCTCAAGCCTTCTAGCATGGTTCGAAGTAGGACAGGCCGCTGCAGCATCTGTGTTGTGCGTGCCAGCTGTGCATGCTCCTTTACGGGGCCATGTTACCCCCTGCTGACGGAGGGCGCCCCCTGCGCAGGTCGTTTTCGCTGACCGCCTCAGCGGAGGCGCACCGCGAAGCTGCGGGGCAGGCGCGCGCCGTTACGCAGCAGGAGCGCGCAGACCGGCAGGAGGCACTCGCCCCAACGCAGCTGTGGGATGTCGAGGAAGCCACGGCGCTCGCCTTCCGCTACATGCTAGCTGCCGTGGTGAGGGTTATGCAGCAGCAGCACACTGCCGCGCAAGCCGGAGGGGAATATGTAGTTGTCGCATACATCCAGGGCGCAGTCCCTAAGAATCCCTAATCTACATTTGAGGTCTTCTCTGCTTCTTTTGACCATGTCCCCATCTCTCGCACAGACCTTCACCACTGTGGCGGCCGCCCGGCCTAGCGTTGCTCGCTTTGCCCACCTGGTGGCGGAGCACCACCCGTCAGGCAGGTGAGGGTACCACGCAGACAAATTCCTGAAGCACACTGTGCAGCCAGCATAAGGCAGAGACACATAATGACCCTTCTTAATGGGAATAATGCCGCCAGCAGCTGCTAGCAGGTGGCCATGCGCTGGTACTTCCCCCCGTGTCCCCCACTGCTTTGGCTGGGCCTGCTGGCGCTGTCTACCACTTGCTACTCGCATGCCTGGCCCTACCTGCCTGACAGCCTTGACCTGACAGCCCTTGTGCCCTCCTGTTGCCAGGTGTCGCGCAGGTGCGGCCTCCCTGGTGGCCCAGCTGGACACTGTGTGGCCCACGGCGCCCCTCCCCGGCGAGGCGGACCCGGCAGACGCTGCGGACGTGCAGCTAGCCGTGCTGCAGCAGGTGGCGGTATGCGGGGCAGGCGTCCCGCACTCGCAAAAAGGGACCTGGGTGAGCCAATGCTGCTGAATGGGGAGCGCAGTGCAGTGCGAAGGCACAGTTTGGGTGCAGCTCTGCCATACCCTTGTGTGATTCAAGCTGGAGCCTTCTTTAGAGTATCGGCTCAGAAGGGTTGCGCTGACCCTCTGCCTGTGATGACCCCGGGCTTTGCTTCCCGTTGTGTGCAGCGGTCATGTCAGGGCAGTACAGCGGACACGCGTGGCTACAGGTGCGCCCCGTCCCCTCGCTCTCTTACATACACTCCAGTAGGATGGGGGAGCACGCAAAGAGTCCTGCCGCTTGTTGCTCCCCGGCTTGTGATGCGATTGGATGCCGTCCGATCAGGTGCTGATAGCCCTTGAATGGGTGTTGCCAGCTCTCAAGAGCTCCGCTGGACTTCGTAGACGTGCTTCGAGGGTTGCGGGCCTTGGACCTGTCCTCCCACGTCTCCGGGTTGCCACGTTGACAAAGGAAGGGCTATCAGATTGCCTTCGCTGGGCACCAGTCAGCAGCTATACCGGTGTCCTTTAGAATCCCCCAGCCCTTCTCCCGCTCCCCGACTTACCCCGCTCCCCTGCCTCTGCCTGCCCCTTCAGCTGCGGCCTGTGGCAGCTCTTCCACTCGCTGGCGGCGCGCTTGGACGCAGGCGAGGGCGGCGCCGCCCTGGCGGCGCTGCGTGGCTTTGTTGATGTCGGCTTCCAGTGCGACGAGTGCCGCCGACACTTCCTCGAGGCCAGCGCTGCGCCCGACGCCGCAGCCGTGACCACGCGCCGGGAAGCTGCGCTCTGGCTGTGGGGCATGCACAACCGGGTGAGCGCGCACTGAGAGGCCGGGGTTGGGTTGCCCTTGAAATCTTTCATACGAGGGTTCGTGCTGGCCGCTCCGTGCTCTCCACTGCACCGCGGAATGTCCATCCTTGGTGTCTCTGGGTGGACGCACTTCGTTCTGGGGCCGCTGCCCTATCGGTCGTAGCTTGTCGTGGCTGATAGGTTTTGCGCGGGGATGCAGGTCAACGTGCGGCTGGCAAAGGCGGAGGACGAGAGCGGGTGGGGGGACCCCGCCTTCCCCAAGCGGCTGTGGCCGCCGCGCCATGCTTGCCCTGACTGCCGGAAGAGCCCCGAGAGTGCCGACGCGGGGTCCGAGGGGGCGGTGGAGTGGGATGAGGATGCGGTGTACCGCTTTCTATTGCGGCACTACCGGCAGCCAGGCGGGGACAACCCCGAAGTTGCGGACATTCTAGGAGGCGACCTGCAGCGGCGGGAAGCCGGCCTTGTGCTGGCGGAGGGGCTGCCAGGGGTGGCCGCACCGCAGGGGCAGGCGGTGAGGGGGGTAGTCGGGGGTGTGGTGCTGCTGGGGGGCGTCGGGGCGGTGGGGTGGTGGTGGCAGGGCCGGCGGCGGCGAAGAAAGTAGGTGGCGCCCAATGTATGCACCACTCTCCTCCATTCCTTACATGCGTGTGCGTGGGCTCGAATGTGCGATTGTAGCTTCAAAAGGCGACGAGAACAGCAGTGCACCAAATATTTTGGTGTCCTTTGGATCATCTGCCTCTATCTTAGAGCCCAAGCGTGCGCGGAGTCGTCTGGCCTTGCTCGGGCGCACTCCTTATTCAAGGCATCAGGGCGATGCTTGGCCGTCTTTTTTGCACGCCGCTACGTCAGGATGCCCACTTGGTGTGGTGACTCACTTGCAGATCCCCCTTGTTCGTGTATCCTAGGGTCAGCAAGGAGTGAGCGCAACTAGGCAAGCGCTTGAGTCGAACGGCGGTTGAGCTTGCCTCTGAAATGTAGCATCATCAAATTACGGGCAACTTATGCTGGACAAACTGGAAAGAAATCGTTGTTATGTGGGTTGATTGCATTTCCAAAATGTTAAAGGAGAGGCATAGACACCAAGTGCTGGCACGTGGCTCTCATTGAGACAGGAACATCTCCTGGTGAGTCTACTCTCCGGCTCGATCATGGGTCCACTTGGTAGTGAGTCCCATGCGCAGTGTATCAATGACTGAATCGATTTATCCTCTGTATCGACATTGCCATGCACCAGGCGTATCACGAACTCTAGCAATTGTCGAGATGGCATGGTACCTATGCTGTTATACTTTGGCATGCGCGTTGTACAAGGGGAACAATCAAAATGGACGTGGGTTTTGTTAGCGAATTGAGTACCTAGTGCATGTTCGCGATCTCTAGATACTTGACAAGTGCATACATGCTGCATTCCAGCAGGATTGTGTAATCGATCTGCGAAGGTCAAATCGTCACCGTCGCTTCTCACTGTGGCGCCTTGCACGTGATTACGGCCGAGCTACTAGGCTCACGATCGAACGCGGTGCAGCCGTAGTGCACAAATGAAAACGTCATATCAAAGGGCGCTCGCCGCCACGCCGGAGATACCATGTACATCCTGTAGAGTGACATCGGATGCAGTAGATTTCTGTAAATATAAGCATTCCGCTTATGATGGACCTACCGATCCGCTTGGCACACCGCCAAGTTGCACACCGCACGTCATACAAGAGCGCAAGCACATGCGCTCAGGGAACTTCTGCTTTGGCACCCATGAAGAGAAGTTGCCATTAAAGACCTCACTAGGCCGCCATAGCGCGACTTATCTCTCTCAAGGCAACGTACAGAAAGTTGCATCAGCAACTTTCGGGTCCAGCTTATAGGGCTGGCCGCAGTCACTCAGCATTCGGGTCTACACACAGTAGACTACAAACTGCAGCAACCTACAGCCGTCCGATCGGGTCGAGCCCTAATATCAACGGCTCACAACTCGCGCGCGCGCGCAGCTCCGATGAGCCACGGCAACGAGCCTCTACAACGTGACAGCTGTCATGCGGTACTCTATCGCTGCGGCAGCGCCTCGGCACCAGCATCTCTTCCGCATCATCTACGCATTGCATCATGCCAATCCAACAACAACAAAACTAGCTGGCTACCCCCCCCTGACATTTCGCGTCAATCGCCGGAATGATCCGCATGCACGTACCGCGCAAAAGTGGCGGGCATAACACTTTATTCATTCAACCTCGGTCCACATTTCCACCATGCTATGTCAGACCCAAAATTTCCTTCTGTTGCCTTCAAAGCGGCTTGAATTGTCACCACGATTCTCGGCACGGGGGTCAAACCTGAGGCTTCCGTCGACAACCTTTCCCTTTCCTATTTTGAAGATTCGAAGTCGCCTCTCCTTCTTCAGCAAGAATACCAAGCTTCATTGACTGTCAAATCAATCTTGACAGCCCACGATAGACTACCACATTGACTACTACAATTTCCCTCAAAAAACAAGCAGACAAGAATACAAGAATGGTGTCTCAGGGCCAGCATCACCAGCTCATCGCAACTCTTCCCCGGCAAGTGTCCCCTTACGGCAATATTCCGAAAGCGAACCGCAATCAGCCGCAATTTCACAACGCTCAATGTATGCAAAAGCTGCCAAAAACGTGCAATCACTCGAATTCGTTACCCTCGGTCAAAAGCAGGGCCACCGCAACTCCCTCGCTGCAAGCGGCCCAATCAAGCTACGGGTGCAGCCAGCTTCCGACGGGGCAGGCGGGGCACGGCCAGCTGAGTCGCCTGGGCGAGCCACACGTAGTTGAGCTGCACACGCCGGAACACAACACGTCACAGCCAGCAGCGCCCCAGCCAGGCACCCCGTTCGGCCTGCACCATGGAGGCATTTGAAACCCCGGGCAATGCATGGAGGTTTGTGTGCACTCCAAGTACGGAAATATGTGTCAATCTGAGCCAGATGCATGTACATAGATGGGGGGGCTCACTGATCCCAGGAAGTTGTTCCCAAGGCGCATGGCTATGGTGGCGGCGCGCGCCACGCCAAGGTGCTGCGAGAAGACGCCGTACAAGACCTGCTCCAGCCCGTTCACGAGCTGGTACCTGCCACGCAAGCGCAAGTGGGAGGTGAGAGGGGCACGCGGCGACGGGGCATGTGAGGCAGTACAGCAGGACAGAAGGCAAATCGCAGAAATTCACAAGGGCCAAAATCGTGTCGGAGCCGTCCGATCTTCACATAACGACCCCAGTCTGCAACGTCAGGCATGGGCAGCTCCATCGCGTCTGAAGACGGTTTTGCGAAGGGTTTGGGTCAAACAGGGCCAAACCCTTCGGCAACAACAAATATTGACGTCCATCTTTTGCGTCAAAGGGTAAACAGTGGCAACCCAGATCCGACCTAAGTCCCAGCCAGTCCAATCTCTTACACTCCGCTGACAGAAGCGGTTGACTGTCGCGCAGCTCCTGGTGACGATCTGCGGCATTCACAGACAGCCTGGGGCGGGGAGCTCACCGCGTGTTGGAAGACAGTCCGAGGTAGGCCGTCCAGAGCAGCATGGACTTGCCGATGGGGTTCGTGGTCGCGGGGGGGACATACGCAGGGTCCACCTGCACCCCAGGATATAGCACAGCGTCAGCCCTTGCAGGACGGAGAGCCATGGCGCGCAACCGCTCCAGGCAGGCAGAGAGGCCGCGCCGCGCAGGGCAGCAGCCGGGGCTGGCGGCAGGAGAGTAAGGGGCAGGCCGTCACCTGTTCGCGCGCGGCCGTGAGGGCGTGCACCAGGGCCGTGCCAGCTCCCCCGTTGACGCAGCCAATGAGGCCGTACAGCACGCCCTTGTACACGTAACACCTGCACGCACGCAAAGCACACACGCCACGTCAGAAGCAGGGATGGCCAGGACGGCAGCGGCCTGAGCAAGGGAGGCCCTGCAGGCGGACATCGGATGATGGGGCTTGCAGAGAGTGCGCGTGGGCCCTCACCCGGCCCTCTGCGCGAGGGTGAAGGGCCCCCTCTGGAACATGTGCTGCGGGAGGCGGGCGATGGCGGACGAGGCGGCCAGCGTGGCAGCAGAGGCGACGGGGAGGGGCGCCAGCAGGTACACCAGCGTCATGTCGCACAGCAAGCTGCACGCCAGCTGGCTGCGCACGGCCGCAACAACACGTCAGCCGCGGTGGGGCACAGGGCAAGGGGTTGACTAGAGGTGCAGCAGGGCAGAGAGGGCTCGGGCCCTAGTCAGGCGCGAGCAGCTGGCAGAGGCACCAGGTGGGCGGGCGCGAGCGCAAACTGGCTCAGACAGCACCGCCGCACGTGCAGGACAGGAGCACCCAAGCCTCGTGGCGGGTCCCGCATCGCTTACCAGATGACAAACTCCAGCTCGCTGAAGAATCGCTTGCCCCGTTGAAGGTAGTTCACCTGGCAGAAGAGACGATCCGATTGGTCACTTGTCAGTACTGGAGATCTGGCAGCACAGCGCACACCTACAAGGCGGCTGACTGATCCCAAAGCCGCCTGGTGGTGCTCCAACTGGGTGGGGCCTCACCGCCAGGATGATCCCCGCGTCGTTCATGCACTCCACGCCCAGCTTGAACACAAAGTCGGGGTCCACCTCGAGCCGCTCCTGCAGCCCGCGCCGCAGCTGATGCACCACCCCGCTCTGCTGCCCAATCCTGACATCAGCGCTGCTGTCATCCTCATCCTTGTTGCCATCCCCACCACCGCCGTATCCCCGCCCCCTCCCTGGCCCCCGGTCTCCTCCCCCTCCGCTCCCCGCCAGGCCAGGGCTGCTGCTAGCCGCGCTGACTGTGGCGTTGCGACCACCCCTCCATCGTGTCCCTCCAACCTCTGCACCTGCTGACAATGGCGCCCCAAGCAGCGACCTTGCCTCTGCGCACACCGTTGCTCCTGAGCCGGGCTGGCTGCCAAGACGAGCACACGGCAAGGCTGCGGCCCGCAAGCCCGCAGACACTCTCCAGGAGGCCTCTACGTCTACTTCCCGCAAGTGGCAACCGCCCAGCGTGCGGGCGCCAGCGGTGGCAGCAACGCACTGAGCCATAGGGAGAGCTGGGAAGCAGAGCGCTGCCGCCTACTCCGATTTCGTACCGGCGGACACTTCTGCAGTGCCTGCTGGTGGGGCGGGGGTGGTGTCTGGCTGCGGCTCCTGGGCGCAGGCCCTCAGGATGTCCTCGACCTGGTGCGTGCGGGCGTGGCGGGCCTTGGCGTTGGCGCGCCGCGTCTTGGTCATGCGCTGCACCTTCCACAGCAAGCCACCTGTCCGCATGGGCAACAAACAAACATCTAATTGCAGCTGTGCAGCCCAATGTGGTAGCTGCGAGCTGAAACAAAGCGGCCACTGCCAGATCTCCCTTGTTTGATTGCATCTTCCTAACAAAGAGCGCAAGCAGCATACAAACCAACGCCACAATGACGAGAGAAAGGCGCTGGTGGCCGCTTTACCTGTCTGCTTCTTGACTACCTCCAGGACCCGGGTCGGTGCACCCAACATGGCAAGTGGGAAAGGGCCAACTCTGGAAAACACGGCAAGAGGTGTTCTTTACTTTGTTACCACTCAACCATCAATGAGCGCCTCTCTGCGAGTCTAACCTACTTTTAGGTGTCTAAATCCTGGGCCGGCTGGGTGCATCTCAATCTGACCTACCACCGGACCAACAATGGATCAAGGTGTTGCACTACCCCTGCGCCCGGCAAAGCTTGCCTCGGCCTAATACTAATAGCGCCCCTGCAAGGAAACTTGACAACTCCGTGCATGGGGATTTGTGTGCGCCCTGATTCAAATATCCTGAACCAGTACCTTCTTCTCCAGCTTCGTGCGGGTAACTCGACTACCCAAGGCAAGGGTTTAGAGAATACTTTCAATGAAGACTGCATTTCATGATCCACGTGCGGGTTTAGCAGCCGTTAACGATATTATACAGAAATTCACTTTGCCCGATGGCTTTGAACTTCTTCAACTTCAAGTTTCACATTGCTTGCAATTCCTGTCTTGGCGGCTAGGATTCGCTTCTTTCAAGTCCAAGGCTTCTTTGTTCCGTGTGCAGCTGTGCTTGATCTGGGGCTGATGACGCTGCAGGATGCGTATCATCCAAAAACTGGGCAGAAGTTTACACTTTAGGCCTGTCCAATGCGCGCCGCTGTGTATGCTGAGCCATTGCGTGCCTGCCCCCTTTCACAATTAAAGTTCCCCTTGAAGAGGCTCGCATTCAGTTGTACCTCCAGCCAGCGCACCACCAAGTTATCAGCAAGGATGGTGATGGCTTCCCTGGAACAGGCGGCAAATTTGTACCCCATACCGCCTGGTGAGACGTTCCGCCTAGTTGCTTGCCACCACTGAGTCGCACAGCTCTGAGCAGCAATGGGGCTGGGCACACCAGTTGGGGTGTTTCTACGCGTCTTGGAAGCATCACCATTGTGTGCGGTTTTTGAGCGCCGCGCCCAGTCCCCTTACATCGTCTTGCCCCCCTCTCCCCAGGCTTGGCCATTGACTACGGCACTGCTGGCTTCCGCGCGGAGGCGTCCACCCTGCCCTCCACCGTGTTCCGCACCGGGGTGCTGGCGGCGCTGCGCTCACGGCAGACGGGCGCAGTCACAGGCCTCGTCATCACGGCCAGCCACAACCCGGAGGGAGACAACGGAATCAAGGTACTGCAGGGTGCCACCCAATCAGCTGGCACACACATCTCTGAGCAATGGCGGTGTGTGCCTATGAGGCTTGTTTGGCAACCACCCTGAGCTGCCAAGTGTGACGATCTGCCCCATTGAGCTGATCAGCCCTTCTGACTTGGCATCACCGTGTCCCTCTGCCCCTGCTGGCGCGCTGACTCGCCGTGCCCTCCTTGCACTGCTGTCCCCTGATGTGCGGCCCCCTCCTACGTCCAGGTAGCAGATCCTAATGGCGGCATGCTGCTGCGGGACTGGGAGGCGGCCGCCACCGCGCTCGCCAACGCCCCCACCTCAGAAGCTCTTGCCGAGGTCAGCCACCATGTCCAACTTGGAGAACTTTAGCATATCGAGCTTAGGGCGCCGCTAACGTTGTCTGCCCTGCCCGTGAATGACACCCGCTGCGCCAGTCTGCTGCCGGTCTGCGGCCCCCCACTGATGTTGACGAGCGCTTCCCCCCCCCTTCAGGCGGTGCAGCAGCTGGCTGTGCGGGAGGGCATCCCTGCGCAGGCCCCCTCCGGCACTGTCCTCCTGGCTCGCGACACGCGGCCCAGCGGCCCCGCGCTGGCGCACGCTGCCACACAGGTGAGGGCTGCCCTACCTCCACTGTGGCGGCTGGGCGTCAGGGTCCCTGGGCCCCGAATGGAGGGAGCGGCTGCCGCGGGGTGTGCCCTGGCAATACACACTGCTGGCCCTTCCTAGCTGGCCGAATGTCCACCCGTCCCTAGCTGAGTGCCTAGGCCTGGCTCGGCAGCCCCCTGCTGACGGTGCGCATGCGGTGCAGGGCATCGCTGCAGTGGGTGCAACGGTAGAGGACCGCGGAGTGCTGACGACGCCGCAGCTGCACTGGATGGTGCGCGCCACCAACCGCGCGGAGGCCGCAACGGAGCAGGACTACTTCCGCACTTTGGCTGCGGGCTTCAGGTATTGCCGCCCAGACTTGCCTGTGCCCACTGCCTGAGCCTGCGCCAGGCGGTTGAGAGCGGGGGGGCATTATCCCGAGGATGCTTGGCAGGGCAGATCTGCTGGGCAGGCGCGGCAAGTGGGCTGGGCTTCTTGCGGCCTAGGTAACCACGGGCCCTGTGCAGTCGCTACAGGGCCCCCTCCTGTGGCCCTCCCGCCTGTATCGCCTTTGGGCTGGGGCTTGGCTATCCGAACTCGTGCAGTCCTGCGGAGCGAGCCCCACTCCTCCCCCTGCTTCTGATGCAGGGAGCTCCTCCTGTTGGCAGGCGCTGGCCGGCCCCCTTTGGCCCCCCTCCTGGTGGACGGCGCCAACGGCGTGGGTGCAGCCAAAGTGGAGCGGCTGGGGGCGCTGCTGGCTGACACGGGGCTGGCCTTCCGCGTGCGCAACAGCGGGCAGCCGGGGGAGGGCCGCCTCAACGCGGGCTGCGGGGCCGACTTCGTGCAGAAGGAGCAGGCGCCACCTGCGGGGGTGACTCTGGACGAGTTGCGCGCGGGGCGGGGGGCCAGCCTGGACGGCGATGCGGACCGGGTGGTGTTCTACCACTGCGACGAGGAGGGGGGCTTCAAGCTGCTGGACGGAGACAAGATCGCCGTGCTGGCAGCGGGGTTTGTGAACGAGCAGCTGCAGGCATTGGGAGACGAGGGGCGGCGCTGGCGTGTGGGCGTGGTGCAGACCGCGTACGCAAACGGGGCGGCCACGGATTACCTCCGCAACGGGCTGCAGCTCGAGGTGCGGCACAGCGTAGCAAGGCCCCCGTCGAAGCCTGTGAAGACCAGCAAGGCTGCGCCTTGACACTAGGCATGAGCCCGCAGCAGCAGGGTAGCCCGCACGGCCAGCCTGACGGGGCGGTGTGCGTGGCTGCAGGTGGCACGCACGGCGACGGGCGTCAAGTACTTGCACGAGGTGGCAGTGCAGTTCGACGTGGGCATCTACTTCGAGGCCAACGGGCATGGCACCGTGCTCCTCAGCGCCGCCCTCCTGGAGTGGCTGCACCAGCAGGTCAGGGCCCCGCCGGGGCGGCGTGGCGCGGCCACCCCTGGGGCCCCAGGCAGCACAAGCTGTCTCTGCTGACCCCTCTTTTCGGCCGTCCTGCCGCAGCCTTTGCCTGTCGAGATACCCGCACAGTATGCCCTTCTGGTCAATCGCGGTCGCCCTCCTGGCCCAGCCTGTCGGCCTCAGCGCTTTTGCTCGACTCAGATAGCGCTGATGTTCCGTCCCCACCTGCCCGTTCTCTTGCGCGCAGTCCAAGCTGGAAGGGGCCCCTGAGCGCCACACGGCGGTGCGACGTTTGCTGGCACTGGCTGGCACTGTGAACCAGGCGGTGGGCGACGCGCTGAGCGGGCTGCTGTTGGTGGAGGCGGTGCTGGCGTCACGGCGGTGGAGCACCGCGGACTGGGACGCGCTCTACACCGACCTGCCCAGCCGCCAGCTCAAGGTGCGTGGCCCCCGCCACCCCCCTCCGCCCATGCGCCAGCACGCGTGGACCTTCTTCGGCTCGGGTGCCGCCGTATTCCTGGCCGGTCGTGTGCGCCAGGGTTCCCCTCCGGTAAGGAGAGGCTCACGTTGCGCTGAGGGCGCTCTTTTTGGGGTACTTCTGACTGGCAGAGCAGCAGACTGATTCGCCCCGTCTCTTATCAGGTGACGGTTCACGATCGCTCCGTCATTACCACCTCACACGCGGAGACGCGCGCAGTGACCCCGGCTGGCCTGCAGGACGCGATCGACGCGTGCGTGGGTGAGTGGGCGGCCCTGTTCTGCGATGTGTGCATCTGGGCCGCAGCCCTTGCCGGCTCCCCGCGGCCATGCTCAAGTGTCGTTCTTCGACGGGCGGGGTCGGACTGCCCTTAGTGGGGGCAGCAGGGGGTGCGGCAGGAAGGGGACACGGCGGAGAAACCCGTGGTTCAAGTTTGGGAATGTCTTGCAGTTGATTGTCCTAAACATGCGTTGCGTAACTTGAACATTGATATTATCCAGAGGGACGGACGGCTGTTGCACGGCACGTGCAAGCCGCCTGGCCTTCCACCGTCAATGAGGCATCTTCAAATTGATTGATATTGAAGTTCAAGGCATTGCCCAAAGCTGACGTCCGGACAAGGCCACCTGGAGGAGGGCATGCGAGAGTGGAATCTCTGTGGCGTCGCCTTTGTGCCGTGGCTGAGCCAGGCTGGGGATCCCCCCGCGTGCAGCCGGAGTGTCGCAAGGGCGGGCCTTTGTGCGGCCGTCGGGCACCGAGAACGTAGTGCGAGTGTACGCCGAGGCAGCGATGCGGGAGCAGGCGGCCAGCTTGGCGAACGAGGTGGCGCGCATCGTGCATCGACTGGCGGGAGGGCTGGGAACGTCACCCTGAGGCCTTGAGAAGAGACGGCTCGGGTCACCAGAGACCTTTGGGTCTGGCTGCAGAACACACATCGGTCATGCACATGGCAAGCGCAGCTGATCGGCACTCAAGAAATGATGGACTACCGGGCCTTTAATTGTGCGAGATACCTTCTTCCTTCGCGTAATCACAGTGGCTTCTCTTACCCCTCCACAAGCTCATCATTGATCGTGTCTGGCTTTTGTCTGTTTACAGTTGATTTCCTATTTGCAGCAAGTAATCCTGTCAGCATGGCCAAAATTTTGAATGGAAGGACAACATCGCTACTAGTTAGAACAAGGCGATTCTGGCTTGAAGCTAATGACTAGTCCGGACCTTTTTCATGTAGACCTTATCACTTGGTCAGTTGTTCTCTTGAACAATCATTCAAGCGCTTTGAAATTGCAAGCCTTTCCCCTTTCTTCTTAGATTTTCAAAGGTTGCCTTTGAAAATCTTTAGGTTGGTTTCAAATCCGCGGAAATCCGCGCAGAGGTCGAATCATGTACGTTTGTGGTCAGGTAGTCATGTATTCCGATCAGCGGCATACGCTCTATCGTCATCTCAATGAAAACTCTCTCATGTCGAAGACCATGGTGCAGTATGTGAACCGATATTGGTTAGGTAGCTCGCGTGCAACATTGTGAAACTTGATGGTTGAGATGGCAGCGTCTCAATCAATCTGCCCTAGCTGGTCTGAAATGAAACCGCATAAGCTAACTTGCTAGCATGCAACTTGTTTCGAGCTCTTCCCTAATGAATGAACCGGAGCTTCGGATTATTGTCCTACGTTTTCCAAACTCAGATGTTGCAGCTACTTATGCGTGTCTGCAGTTTGTAATAGATTATGATATGCATATTACCCCCAAGCAAGGGCTTAATATATGGAGTGACAGAGCGCGTTTCACCGAGTACCGGTATGAAGATTCAATCTGGGCGGCTTTGATAATCTGCTCGGACGAGCTTGGCGGCTGTCATGTGTATTGAAGCAACGCACGAATTTCTTAGTTGTCAATCGGAAAGTACCCGTTGCGTCCACCATACTATTATGTAATAGCCATCATTGTCAAGAGATTTGGAAGCCGGCCCTACTAGCCGTGGCACTGAAATCACAGAACGGCGAACGTCCTAGACTCCCATGCAGGCTCCAGGCTCCCACTGCAGGCCGCAATAACAATAACAATAACAATATTATCATATAACACGACAATCGTTGGCCAAGCCAACTCAATGTTGTATGTGAAGGCCACAGCACCTCAGATGTCATTCCTCACTAATACGTCCTGCTCCAGCAATCATGAAAAGATCTTGAAAGGCTCCCATTGTAAATTGAACTCGCGCGTCTTTCAATTAGGCCACGCTTTGTTGAACCGAGACGCTTGACACGGAGATCTCATCGGACGGTTGACACACGGTACTTGGGTACTTTTGTTTGTGCGTCAGCGCTATACGGCTTCCTCCTGCTGAATTTCTCGTGAACCACATGTGCCCAGGCATCTCGTCGTGCGTGGCTGTGATTGGTCAGAAAGCTCGTGATGGCCAATCCAGATCTCACCGCGGGAGATCTTATCCACTACGGAGCGACCCGACTCCCAGCAGCCTCACGTGGAACCTCTGGTCCTCTGCCCCAAGAGAAACACCAGGACTGCGTTCGCAGGCAGCATTCTTGTTGAGGAGCTTTGTGTCCTTGTCTGCGAGTTTGTTGGGCGACGAAAGCTTGCAGGTCAACAGCTTTGACTCGACGAACCCTGCAGGTTTCCCCAGTCAGTGCCAATGGCGTCTGTCGCTACCATTGCCACTCCCCTGGCAGGTGCATTGGCAGTTCCCACTGCCTCTGCTGCGACCCGGTATGCACAGCCTGTAGTGGCCGGTGCTCTCCCAGCCAGGAGGAGCATTGCTGGAGCAGCTTTGAGGAAGGCTGGTGAGTTGTGGCAGGTCCCAAGATCCTCTTAATATGGATGGTGTTGTCACATGAAGGAGGCAGCATGTCAAAGGGCCCCGTGCTGGGCAGATTGCATTCTTCGGTTGAGAGATTGGATGAGGCGTTGTCAACACCCTGTGGACCCATGCTTATATTTGCAGTTATGCGAACTCATCCAAGCATACATAGTTCCACAGCATATTTGGAAAAGGGCCAGATGGATTTGCTGCACATTCCTGTCAGAGGTGGATTTGCTGCACCTTCCTTTCAGAGCTGCAGCAAAGAACACTGCATTTGCACAGGTGCCGCGCCTGAATGCAGGGTTTTGTTGCTGAATGCATTTGCCAGATTTCTCAATGCAAGGCGATTCTGCCTTTGCCCCGGTGCATTGTATCCTTGAAGCATGGGACAGGACAACCTATCTTGTTTACTATGTCACACATGTCACCCAGTTCTGCATTTGTAAGCTGATGTGTGTATGATCAAACCATTTGGTGTTTGACATTTGGTGTTTGACCTGGTTGAGAAATTGACATGGTATGCTCTTGATGCAGGAACATCATCAAAATCTTCGGTCCATGTCTGCAGAAAGGCTATTCAAATGAGGTATGTGGCAACGAGCTGGCACTTCTTGGGCAAGCATTTGCAACCACTTTTCTACTCAATAACCGATATTGAGAGCTGCTGAAGTTGACCTGTGGTTTCTCTGAGCACAGAAACTGACAGCACGCCATGTGTGCAACTCTCCTAGGGGATGCTGGTTTAACATCCGACTAGGAACATCGAGACTGCTTTGGTTACATTCAAGACTTAAGAGCCGCGGTCAGGGGTCTAGTCGGCAGTTGAGAGAACGCATTGGTACGGCCTCTGAAGGCAGTCTCTGAGCTTGAGTCTGGCCTCTCTACATCCATCAGCGGGCAACAATGGTCATAAACGGGCGTCTGTTACCTGCTGGGGAATGCACTTGAGGCGCAGTGGACGTTGAGCAGCCAGCCGTATGGACAGTTTATCTAGTGCCTCACTACTGAAGAGTTTTCTCACACGCCAGCTGTTGAACTGAGGGTTCATACGCCAGTGTTGAACTGAGGATGCCCACGCCAGTTGTTGAAATGAGGGTTCACACGCCACTTTTTAAGATGAGGGTTTCATATTCCAGTTAAAATGGGGGTTTCGTAAAGCTGTGCCAACAGGCAAGCGGAAGCTTTTCTGGCAGCTACCTTGTGAACACTGAAATATAGCATGCTGAGGAGGGTCCAGAACAAAGGGCTCAAGTTTCTTCTGAGCGCTGTCCTTGTACACCTGCAGTGCTGAACAGCCAAAGGAAGAGGTCCCTCTCGTCGACCGGCTCGCAGTCCCCGCCACCTTGGCGCTCGTGGCTATGTGCGCCATCCCCGATGTCGCTTTTGCCGCTGGCCCAGGCGTCTCTCCGTCGTTGAAGAACCTTTTGCTTAGTGTGGGTGGTGGAGCCGCGGTCCTGGCTGCAATTGCCATCGGCATCGCGGGAGTTAGCACATTTGATCCTGTCAAGCGCGGGGGAAGGTGCGTGCTCTTCTCATCTTTCGACTTGAGTGTTTGCAGCATTTCCCCCTTGTGCTTTTTCAAGGGGGAAATTGGGCGTGCTCAGTGCCCAATTGTTGCTCTTTGAATTTGCTGCTTTTGACTCGCCCAGCAACCTGGATATGAAAGTGACAATTTTCCTGTGGTGGCTCTTGCAGAAGATAATTGGGAGAGTCACCCGGACATTGTACAAGAAGCTCGCCGCTTTTTGCACAATAGGAATCCAGCGATCTGATCACTGTCTGCATCTGGGAGAATAAGTGTTGATTCACTGATCCAACATGGACCTGAAAGCTCATTGCGGCACGGCCAATTGTGCCTTGCAGGAGGGTATAAGCAGAGCTGGGGCTTGCAGCAACCGAAGAGCGGCATTCTTAGTCAAGACATGGGCTTTTCGATGCTAAGCAATCTGTCAGCAGACCCCAATCTGTACAGGATTAGTAATCTGCGTTTGGATACATATTGAGCCGTTTGAATAGCAATCGACCTTCCACAGTGCGTTGTAACATTCTTTGCCAACAGGAGGTTTTGACCGCATCATTCTATGTGAAAGCCCCTTCGTTAGCATGCCAACTGTGAAACTGATAGATGGAAACGTGGCCTTGGAGGCATTGAAGTCAACTGTGGCTTTGCATCGCATTTAGTTTGTAATGGATTGGCATGAGCAAACTCCTGATTTGTGCAACACTTGATGGATCATCTGATCGACTTTGAAGCCTCTCGTGGTTTCCTTCCAAGGCATGTGACTTACTCTTGTTGCCGTTCCATGAATGTCGCGCCAAACGGCAAATTCTGCATTGTGGCGCGTTCACAAAATCAGCTGCTTTCTGCCGGTTGTTAAAACCACTTCTTGTTTGTATTTTCTGACATTCACTCATGTAAAGTGCCAAGCCCTTTTTCCCATTCGAGAAAAGATCCCCAAAGCTTTGAAGTACGGGGCAGGGGCTTCCTGGCGCTCTGCATCTCCAAACCTTGGTCGCCTTCATTAGCCGCACACACTGTGGAAGTTTTATGTCTACTAGGTTCTACCTACCCAAACCGCCTCTAGAGTCAACTTAACGACTGCAGAACTTGGGAAGCTCAGATGTTGATAGAAGCCCCAGTTTGACAAACATTATTGCTTACAAGCTTCTCAATGTAGCAAGAGACGTAGAGTCGGTATACCGTAAGGTGTACAAGGGATCGTTGGAAGGTAGCATGGGTCTTTAGTAACCATTGAAGCATATGAGATGAAAGAACACACACCACACAATGGTATGCCAATGGAGAAGCCTATGGCCGAATTGGCTACAGCGTATTTCAAAAGAGACCATCAAAGTTTCAAGTCGTCCTTATACATACATTCTTCTCATAGTATATGCATGATGCTGTTTGTTGCTTGTAATGCGTAGAGTAATAGGCTGAACGTTGGATACGACTCAAGCTGTAGAGTCAACTCGAATTGTATCCCAGTCGCTCCGAGCACTGCCCAATGGCTCAGGGTTGGAAGACAGCAAGTGACCATGTCCAAAATAACTAAAACTGTCATCAATCAAAAGCACGCAAGTCCAAAAGTTGGCGGCCCTTTGAGGGCAATGCACAACCACGTAGTAAAAGCGCTGTAGAAACGTGTTCAGCCAAGCAGCTCATGATCCTTAACATTAATCTCTACCACACCGTGACGACTGGCTTGGCAAATCCTCGCGAGTAATTAATCTCTACAGAGCTTTTTATGAACGATTGAAGTTAAAGTGTGTGGCTTGTCATTCTTTTTACCTTCTTTTCATCTCCACGCTTTTTTGCTGCAGCAAATTATCATGAAAGGCTCAAAGCATGGGAAAGTAGGCCTACTTGTGTCACCTCCCTATATATAAGTAGTTCGGTGGCGTCGAATCTCTGTTCTCTTTGAGCGCCTCACTCAAACGCATGGGCATCTGTGATCCCAACGCACACCATCTCAAAGTTGCCGCCAATGGCACCTAACTAGTGTGTTTGACCCGACCTATTCCTTCCAAAATCAAGGCTTTGGTGGGTCAGACATTAACCTATTCAAACCAGGCATAATCATTGGAGGATGCTCTTTTAACCATCTCCGAACGGCATGCTCCTTGAACTTCTTGCCTTCTTCGAAGTTCTCCAAAACCCCGGCAGCACGATCCACCTTATTGATCCTGGATGGTGCAACCGAGACAGATGATCAGTGTACCATAGCTTGTAGCTTGTAGCTTGTAGCTTGTAGAGTGTACTCTGAATGAATCAGAGAATGCTTCATGGAACATATCACCAGCAGAGCAACACAGATCAGGTACAGTCGTCAGTTGCAAGTCAAAACAATCTCACTCACATCACTGCTGGCATATTGAGCTCAGTACACTCTTGTGTTATCCTTGGATAAGAAGAATCAGGACCTAACGGGACTTTAAAGAGTGGCATTCGCACCCTCACTTTTTGAATGCGGTTGAAGATGGTCAACCTTGAGACAACAATAGGAGCCTCAATATAAAGGAATCACTATATGGCACCCTAACTGGATTTTTGCAGAATCTGAGAAAAAGGGTCAACCTCCTTCAGTTGCCGCATCGCGCCGCATGATTTGCAGTCCAAGACCCGCACCCTTTTATAGAAAAAGATTAAGAAAAGATGGCCCTACAGTGATTGAAGGATATCCGATTGCCAGCTGTCAGCGACAAGAAGATTGGCCAAAAAATGAACGACACGTAAACAGCATGATACGCAGGGGAATCTACCCTCCATGATTGGCGTCACAAATTACCTGATAACGGATGCCTGTTCCAAGGTTAGATAACCAATCAAATAAGGCATATCTCAGTCCAGTTTGTTGAGACAAGATGCTCGCTTTATTCAAGGACAAACGAGGATAAGAGATTAGTGGATGTCCGCACAAGACCAATAAGCAATCTTGGCGATGAATGCTTTGTAATTTGCAGGAAATGCCTCACCTCACATCCGGATTGGCAAGAGCACTGCGGAGGAGCATGAAACCGCACAGACCTGCACAGGGAGATAAAGCTGTTGCCATTGCTCTCCCTGAAGTTCTGTGAACCCCAAAAGGGTGGGGCTTCTCGTACAAACTCCAGTCTGACAGGATGCTGAACAGGCGGAATATGAAGCAGATGACTGTCGTTCTGTGCCCACCCACACCATTGTCCCGACCTTCAGATCAACTCAAGCATCGTGCCATTGCAATGCCCGGCAATGCAACATGGTTGAGCGCAAGATTCAGCAAGGACGTTACCTATGGCAGCACCCATGGCAGCCGCAAGGGGGTACGTCTGCAGACGAAACCAGGTTCGCGAATCAGGTTGAGCGTCAAAAGGGCAGATCCATCAACAAGGAGATTAGGGTTTAGTGGACATTGGGCAGGAACAAGGACAAATGTTATTTTAAGATCTCTCCAACTTTCTCACCTTCCAAAACACTGTCTGTAGGACCACTCAGTACGCAGAAGCAAGATAAGGAGAAAAGGACCCATGATTTTGACTTGAAGTTGAGGGCTTTCGTAACCAATCAGGTCCCGAGGCAGACTGCCAAAACAGAGATCGCTGATGATCAAAACAACACCAGCACACGCCAAGAGAGTGCACTTGCATACCTCCGGTTTGACCCATCTGCTGATACCCGCCATTGCCTCGACTTTACCAGAAGGCGCCACTGGCAATCAGCAAAATCTGCCTTTCACTTGGACTCGGAGGCCCCTCCTGTAGTCTGGGACTCCGGTCTTGGCCCCTGCGTCAGTTTTCATTAGTTGCTTCGTAAATTCTGACTTTTCCACTTATATAAGGCAAGATCTAAAGGCACGATAGGCAGGCATGAAAGTTATCTGAGCCGGCCTTTTTCCCAACTCTTTGGTGACACAGTGCATTGAGTAGGTCATGGTAGGTAGGATTGCTGCTCCAAAGCAACCAAATCTGCTCCGCAATATGAAGAAATGTTGCCACTTTAGCGTCAACCACTCAGACCTTTTGTGTATTTCCGTCCTGTTGTGGGTGGCCTGTTGTTGGTGGTTCTTCCGCCTGAGCCCATCCTGGACCTGAGCCTGATGTCATAAGGCTGAGGCTGTTGTTCCCATTTGTTGATGTTGAGGCTGAGCACTAGGAAGGAAGGCGCCAATTGCAACCCCCTTCGAAATTCAGCCGGGCAAGTATGGCAATTGTAACAAGTGATTGTGGCCATGCATCATCCTCCTGCCTTAGGCTTTGATTTCTTTGACGAAACTGTTGGTGAACGCTCACCTTGCATCCACCTGCATTAGCCAAGGATTGAGCGGCAAGATGTCAGGCAACTTCTTCAGGGTAAGTGGTGGCCTTGTGATTGTGCTTTACTGGACCTTCTGAAGGCAGCAAGTGATCTCCAACCATCCTGCATCTACTGTCTTTTAAGCCTGCTATCTTGGGGCGCTGCAGCATGATGTTGACCCGTGTTGCACTGTGTTGCAGGGGACGACCGCTGAGCAGGACACCCGGTTCAGCAACAAGGAGGCCAAGCTGCTCAAGTCGCACAAACACTTTGCACAAGACCTCGACAAGCCAGTGAGGGGGATGGGGAGGAAGGCGTAGAAAAATCTCAACCGGTTGCATTGGATGAATGCACAGAGTATGATGGGGCCCAATTTGACTTGTTGGACGATTCTGGAAAGTGGTCATTGATGGTCAAGGTTAGGTGAATGCAAGTTCCACTGGTGGCACAACTAGAGTATCAGTGGCCACAGTCCACGAGTTGCTTGTTTCCTGCCTGCGGTGGCGCTGCGCTACTTCGTTGAGTGTCCTTACCGCTGCTCGGTGGTTGCAGGTGGACATCAGCAAGGTGAACATGGAGGTCATGATGAAGTGGATTGTGAAGCGCGTCACCGAGCTGCTAGGCATGGAGGATGAGGTCCTGTGCGGCTTCATCGAGGGCCTCCTGCAGGAGAAGGTCAGTGCGCGCACACTTGCCCATGCTCCGGCGGACCAGAGCCTCATCCTTTTGTTGCATGGCCTGCGCTGCCCTCGGTGGTTGCTGCAGCCTTGCTGACGCGGCGCGGGGGTGGCTTGTGGCAGGGGCTCAACGGCAAAAAGATGCAGCTGTCGCTCACGGGGTTCCTGGAGAAGAACACGGCACGCTTCATGAAGGAGCTTTGGGAGCTGCTCCTCAGCGCGCAGGCCAACCCCAGCGGCATCCCGCAGCAGTTCCTGGACGAGAAGGCAGCGGAGCTCCGCGCCAAGAAGGTACGCCCAGTGGCCTCTATCGCCCCTCGCGGGCAGCGTGGGCATTCAATGTGGGCAGCAGGGGGCAATGGGGGGCATGCTGCACCAAGGGCCGTGGCTCATCGGGCATGCTGGATTGGTGCAGGCGGAAGAAGGGCGCATCAAGGAGGAGGTCCAGAAGAAGCGGGAGGCGCAGGACAAAGAGAGGGAGCGCGAGAGAGAGGAGCGGCAGAAAGTGCGGGTGGGTGCCCCTGCGCAGCAGTGAGCAGGCTTCTGCCTGCCATGGATGGCTACCCCAAAGCAGTCATTGTGCTTGCAGCCGCACGATGCACTGCTGGTACTCACATGTATGCCTGGCCCCCTGCCTCTGCCCCACGGCCCCTTGTTCTGCGTGTGCCCTGCTGACGGCTGGGCTGCTGTGCAGACTTGAGCGCGACCGTGCCTGACGTGCCCCCCGTTCCTTCTCCCTCCCAGGATGAGCGCCATGCTGCGGAGACTGCCCAGCAATCCAAGCTGCCACCGCCCCCTGACAACCACAGGTGAGCCCCTACGCCCGCGCTGCGCTCGGTCCCTGCCCTGCACCAGCCCCTCGCCCTGCCAGGGCCGCACTTGCTGCAGGTTCAGCACGAGCGCGCAGCAGGCCGGGCATGCACCACTTCCTGGGGCACCCTCACATGAATGCCGTCCTCATCTTGGCTGACCTGTCTGTTCAGGCGGAGCCCCGCTGCAACCAATGGCGCCCGTGCGGTGTCCTCAAAGCCCAACGGGTCGCCCCCCTACCGCGCTCGGAGTCGTTCGCCGCAGAGTGGATCTCCTGCGCGAGGACACCGGCGCGCCCCTTCTCCGCCCCGTGGGTATCGGCGCTCCCCGCCGCCGCGGAGGAGGACCCCCCCGCGCTACTATCGAAGGTGAGGCTCTTCGCAGGCCTGCGAACTACCTAGGGGTGTCACAGTGTTTTGTCTGCTGTAGCGACAGCTTCTGCTTGCAGGCCGCATCTGGCCTGTGTCGGGGGCTGACTGTGGGTGCTGTGTGCAGCCCGGGGCGGGGTCGGCGCAGCCCCAGCGTGGAAGACGATCGGGGGATGGGGCCCCGCCGGGAGGCACGGCCCTGGAGGGGGGGGGACGCAGGGGGGCGCAGCAGGTGAGGGCCAGTGCACTGCAACAAGGCCGGTGCGGGGATGGAAGGGCAGTCGTGGAGAGCACCATATGCGCTTTTGGTAGGACAGTTGGGCGCTGGTGCAACCAAGTGGGCTCCGGGCAGTTCAGAGGTGGGAGTTGGGGTGCTGGGGAGGCTCTTTTTTTACGAGGAACCCCATGCTGCCTTGTTGATCTTGTGACAGACCAGGAGGGAGACATACAGTACCTGCCGTTGATGCCGAGCCCTTCTTCTAATATCCACAAACCTTCTAATACCCACAAACGCAGTCGGCATCTGTCGTGAAGGAAAGAAACAGCAGCATGTCGCTAGCGCTTCCCCTCATGGCTCCTCCCATTTTGCAGGTACGACCGGAGCCTCTCCCCCTCCGTCCGCCGGCTGCCCCGCGACCGGTCCCGTTCCACTGACCGCCGCCCTGCACCTGCAGCCGGCCGAGAGCAGCGAGGGGTCGCCCTGCCGCCACCGCCACCTCCGCTCCGCCGTTTGCCTGCCAGCAGCAATACGGACCGCTCGTCAGAATCTCCTCCTCCTCGGCGCGCCGAGTTGCAGGCGCGGCCAGGGGCGCGCTCCCCTCCCTCCCAAGGCAGGCGGCGGTCGCCCTCGCTGTCGCCTCCGCCAAAAGGGCCAGTACTGCCCTCGGGGAGGGCGGGCCGGCCCGAGCTGTCGCGATCGCCGCCAGTTCGGGGAGAGCGACTGGGGCGAGCGAGATCCGGGAGCGACGACGAGCAGGATAGGCCGAGGGGTGCAGCGAAGAAGTCAGCGGAGCCGGAGAGTGGGGAAGAGGGCCCCGAGAGGAAGCGGAAGGCGGAGATGGGCAGGGCGGCGTCGCCTGGTGATAGTGACGAGAGAAGAGAGGCAAAGCGGCAGCGCAAAGAGGAGAAGCGGAAGAGAAAAGAGGAGCGCCAGAGGAAGCGGGAAGAGAAACAAAAAAGGCGGGCGGAGCGAGAATCTCGCAGGGCTGCGAGAGAAGGGGCAGACGGGGCGGGGCGGGGCGGGAGCGAGAGTGACGAGGGGGGCAGGGGGCGGGGGCAGGAGCGGCAGAAGGCAGTGGAGGAGGAGCTGCGGCTCAAGGCATTGGAGTCCATGCGGGCACGCGCCGCCAAGCATGGGCCGGACTAGCCACAAGTTTGAAGACCGGGCGCTCATGAGTCAAGTACACACGAGGGTCTCCATTTTCCCTTGTTGAGGGTTGCTGACCGAGCATACACTTTACCTCTCACATGTTGTTGGCGTCGTCACAGATGCGTCCGTTGGCTTGGTCTATTCAACACTCAACCCCTCGGTCTCGTGTGATAAGGCACTTGTGCTGCATGCAGTGTCTCCTTTGGACCGGATTGAAAGTTGTTTCTGGTCTGGCGCTGCAAACTGCTAGAGTCCTCAGTCTCGCAGATCCGGTCCACTCACAGGCTTTACATGCATCCGCTCTGGCTACAATCTGGACTGGGTGCGCTTTTTGTACCACGTCATCAATCTAATATGAATGCTCCTGTTCGTTCTGTTGTAATTGAATCACTTGGGCATGCTCTTGTTGGTACCCTGAGGACTGCAGATGGGCTCTCACCATTCTGGACATTCGTGCAGCGGGAATTATTCGTGGACGTTCATTTCTTAAGAAGAAAGATGAATGGGAGCTAAGCATGCTTGCAAGCTCGTGGCTCTGCTGCCCATCCTTGCGATCGGGCCATATGGATTGTCTAGGCTGCATGTTGATGCTACGGGATTGCAACCGATCGGAACCTTTTCATGGATGCAACAGCAAGGGTTGTGCTCTATATACCAAAACCCTTAAAACTGTGCAAGCGTCTAATTTGCAGTTAAGTGGCATATATACAGCTCATTGCATGAGTTCAGCGGTGTATAATTCCGACAACAGCTATTGCGTCCACCTAGCTCTCTGATAGGATGAGCGTGCATGTGGCTAGGGTATACTCAATGGCCTTGCATGGTCGAACATGGCCGACCATGGTTCAAAATTACGCCATAGCCAAAAAGCCACCGGTTTGACTCGTGGCATACATATAGTGTATGGTTCTTTGGCTCGCGTCGTGCCAATTTTGTTCACGTTCGTCCAGAAATACATCCATGACGAAGAAGCACGGGTAAGCTTGGTGAATCAATAGGACCTGTGCTTGCGCCCAGTTGCAGATTGCACGTTGACCTTCCGGCAATATGTGCATCCCGCTGGTGACAATGCAGAACTGCAGGGGCCGCCTGGCTGCCAGGACATGGCTGCTTTCCGTAGGCATGGGCCCACGTTAGGAACGTTACTCTGTCGACGGTTCAGTTATCTGTGAAATCGGCATCTGGCCGGCTGCTTGCTTCAATTCCGAATTGGTATCCTACAGAACCCCGCTGCGGATCGGCCGGCCGCGCTGGCTGCGCTAGGGCCCGCCCAGGTTTGTGGTGGTGACCGTCAGCGGCTGCGCCTCCAGCGTGGCCAGGTCCACCTGCAGCACCACCGCAGCGCACGCTTACACCGCGCCCGCGCCAGCCACCTCACAGCAGCACCGCTCCACACGGGGCGCACGAAGAGGGCCGCCCCGGCAGGCAGGAACAGAGCGGGGGGAAAGCATGCAGAGCCACATCACGCAAGCACGAGGAAGGCCGGGGGTCAAGGGGGTGACTGACCAGCACGGCCATCCCGGTGTCGGCAAAGCGGGGCAGCGCGATGAGGCGCACCCTCTGGCCGTCCGTACCTGCACCCACAGCAGAAGGGCCCACTGAGGCGCACACAGCACAGCAGCGGCGGTAACGCAAGGGAGGGCCACGCGACGAGGCCGCCACGTGCCTTGCTGAGACCCGTGTTCCATGCGCAATGGCGTACACGGAGGCTTGGAAGAGTCCGCAGACGGCACTGCGGGTAAGGACGATGTACCAGAGGGAACGGCGGGTCACATGCACTCGGCCATGCCCGCCACGAACTGTGGTCAGGTCGCGGCCAACGAGGAGGGCAACGAATAGGAAACTCGTCTTCCCCGCACGGCCGCGCGAGGGCCCGACTATTCCCGCCCCTCGTGATGCTGCCGCTCAGGGCGGGCGGGGCGGGGCGGGGGGCGAGGGTCACCTTGCAGGAGCGTGGTGGCGAAGGCGGCCTGGTTGCCCGCGAAGTAGACGGCAGGGCACGTGGCCAGCAGGAAGGGGTCGCTGTCCGTGAACGGGTAGCACGCTGCACACACCCACGCCCGCAGTCAGCCCACCGCAGCAGCAGCAGGCGCCGGCGAGCGGCAGCCTCGGCTCGAGCGCACAGCTGGCAAGTAGTAGCACGCGGCACGGCGGGAGGCAGGAGGGCAGCTGCGGGGGGGGAGGGGGGGCGGCGCTCACCCAGGGTGTCGGGCGCAGTGGGCGCGAGGTGGCGCCAGCGCAGCGTGCTCTCCAGCAGCGCGAGGGGGTCGTCCCGGCCACAGTACCGCAGCAAGTCCGCCACGGGCTGCCCGGCGGTGCCGAGGAAACTGCAGGGCGCGGCCAGACAGCATGACGCACAGACGTACGAACAGGCCCGAAGCAAAACGCAGAGGGGCGAGCACGAGAAGAGCAGTGGAAGGCACCGGAGCAGCGGTTGAGAGGCGGTGCTGGGACTGGGCAGGGGCCGCTCACTCGACGCCGTCTACCGAGAAGCGGTGCGGGTTGGTGGCGGCGGAGAAGGTGTCGTACTGGGAGGCGCCAGGGAAGAGGCACGGGTGCAGCGGCTGCACGCACAGCGCACACCCCGCCGCACGAGTCAGCCGCGGGGCAGGGGCGAGCCAGGCAGCAATGCGCGCCTCACAGCGCTGGGCCGGCCCTGCCTGGTCGGAGGAGGTGCGGCGCGGTGGCAGTCGGGGCGGCTCACCTGCTGAGGGAGGGAGTAGTTGGCGGGGTCGGTGCTGCCGGGCATGACGTCCACCGGGAGGGCCGCGGCCAACTGCGCAGCAAAGCACAGCGCGGAGGGAGCGCGGGTGAGGGGCAGCAGACAGCCGAAAGACAGCGCATCAAGCGGCAGGCGTGCAGGCACAGCAGGGTACGAGTGGTTGGCTACGTCAGCAGGAGAGCGGAGAGAGCGGGTGGCACCAGTGCGAGTGGCGCCGCCAGGGCGGTACCTGCGTGAGCAGCAGGTCGAGCTCCTGGATGGGGGCCACCGCCGCCGCCTGCTCCCGCGCAGACAGCGCCTGCAGCAGTGCAGCCACCGGCAGGCCGTCAGAAGAAGACGCAGGGGCCGCAGAAGAGCAGGCAGGCGGGCAACAGAGCAAGGGAGGGGCAGAACACGCCCTGACGTGTGCAGGCACGCTGCCCTCCGCAAGGGCAGCAGATGAGCAGTGGGGGCTGGGGCGCACCTGCCCCGTGAGGAGGTCCGGGGGCGCGTGGAGGGAGTCGCCCGCCAGCACCACGCGCACCGTGCGCGCACTCAGCTGCTGCGCCTGCACGCACAGACGGGGGGACGTCACCAGAAGCAGGCAGGGAACGACACGCGGCCGCGCACACAGGCTGCGAGCTTTCACTCGGCACACTGATGTCAGCTCAACGCAGACTGCAGGGGGGCAGGTGGCCATCCCCGCGTGGTGTATCCGCAGGCAGGGTGTGCGCGGCACCGACCTGGCTTCCCCCGAGGTGCCCGCCCAGATGGTCCACCAGCAGCTGCGTCTGCAGCGGGTCCACCCCCGGCGCCCCCACGCCCAGCCCCGACACTAGCGCCACGTAGCGAGGCGGAGCCACCCCTGCACTCACCACCGCACCATGCGAAGGTCACCAAACGATTGAAGCAGCACACGCACAAAAGAGGAGGGGCTACTGCCAGGCCCCGTCTGCGTGGGCCAACGAGGCTGGCTGGCCGGCCCTGCTTGCTCCTCACCCGCTGCGGGGGCCGGGGGGCGCAGCGGCTGGGGGGGCAGGTCCGGCAGGAGGACGGCCTCCACCGCAAACTCTCCGTCCGCCTGCTCCACGCCGAGCACCGCCACCACCACGCCTGCACCGCACAGCGCGGGCAACACGCTCAGCGAGGATCATGCACGGCCTGCGCAACGGGGGCCGGCTGACAGCAGATGGCAGCAGGGGGGGTGAACGGCAAGCATAGTGACTGTGGAGGCAGGGGGCGACGGACCTGTGGCGTAGTCGGCAGGGCGAAGGGCGTCGCCTGTGAGGCGGATGCGGCCGCTCATGTCCTCCAGGATAAGGAAGTCGTCATCATGCACCAGCTTGGCAGGGGCCACCAGGGGAACAGCCGACCGCTGCATGCAGTCGCAGGAGCGGGGTGAGGGGAAAGGGGGGGAGGTGGGCAACAGAGCAGACAGAAGAGACTGCAGCAAGGGGAGCTTGAAAAGAAGGCAGGAGGGGGCCTAAAGAGAAAGGCACTCAAGAGGGAAGAACAAGAGATGAGAAGCATGAGAAGAGGGGGGCATGCAAGAGATAAAAAGACGCGTAAGGGAGGGGCGCGAGGCGTACCTCCTTGGTGTACTCGTCCAGGATGGACGGCTTGAGCTGCATCTGCTTGTACAGCGTGCCCACCACCGCGCAGCGCACGCCCGCCGCCAGCTTCAGGATCTCCAGCGCTGCAGTGATGCACGCGGCCAGGTCAGCGCAGCACAGCAAGAGCAACGCGGGCAGACGGCCGCGGCGGAGCTGCAGGGAGGCACACGGAAATCGCGCTGCTGCGGTGACAGAGGGAGGCCCCCAAGCGAGCAGCGGAGAGCAGGACCCCCGGTGGGCTGTGTGAGCGCAGGCAGGGGGGGCCGCAGGGGAGTGGTGGGCACCTTGCACATGCGGCCACTGGCGGCGCACGCGGTCCTCCAGGACGGGCCGCAGCTGCAGGAGGCGCGTGAAGTAGAGCGCACTGTACTGCTGGCGGTACTGCCGCTCGCGCAGCTGGAACTGAGCGTCCTGCAGCAACACAAGAAGTGCGGGCTTAGCCCGGCGCGGGCGGCCAGGCAGGCTCCCACTGGCGGCTGCGGCGATGGCGCCTTCCAATAGGAGAGCGCAGACCAGGTTGCCCCAGGTGGGCAGTCCCTGCAGCGAAGGAACGGGCAAAGGTGGGGGGCAGCGTACCTGAGACACATAGTCTGCAGTCTGTCGCTGCTGCACAGCATCACTCCCCATCACGCAGGCTGCGCCGCTCCCACTATTGAAAGAAGCAAGCAGGACCAAAGTGTTGGCTGCCGCTTGCCCAGCCGATGCTTCTCCTCAACTCAACAACCCTCGTGCCGCTCAGGGCAGATGCCCTAGGAACACCGGGGCAAGCGGACACACGGGACGTGATTCCAGTTATCACACCCCTCTAGAAGAGGTTCTGCCTACGTCAGCCACCAGCTGAGAGACCTTGGCAATGCAGCAATGATCATCTTGTGCTCAAGCGGGGTGCATTCAAGATCCCAGCAGCAATAGATGTTCTAACAAGTTTCCGCTCTTCCTTGCATAAGAAAGTGAAGAAAGTGTTCATTGAGCGCCTGGCAGCACACTCCTGTAAGCAGATTCTGGTGGGCAGTTTGACCCTCATGTACGTCCCGTCTCTTCTCTTGATTCAGGGGCAAGCTGCAGAGCGGAGGTCGGTCCTTATGAAAAGACGTGTTGTGCAGAAGAGACAGAGCCAGCTTGCAAGCGCTAGGCTGGAGAGGAAGAGGCCGAATCAGGCTGCATTGGCTCGACTTTCCCGCCATTGATAATCGTTCAGCCCTGCAGCTCGGTGATCCCCCTTGAGTCACTTTAATTAAAACTTGCTTTGTTGTGCGGTAGCTTTGACCGGCAACCGGTTCTCTGACGCTCGATAGGTACATAATAAAGGATCAAGCCGACCGGCGTGAAATCTAAAATCGCGTCTGGCGAAAGAAAGCGCGGCTGCCGGTTCCACAAGCTCCTGAACTTCAGGCTGACAGACAGTGAAGGCAAGGACAGCTTGTCGGGCAGAAAACACCGCCAGTGCAGGGTCACCTAGGCTAGAGAACGCGTTCTCTCGAGAGTGTTCTCGAGTCGGTCAGCTTCAGAGGGCTAGCCACTTTGAAGCACGGCACTCGACGTTTTGTATAAAGAGCGCTAAATCAGAAAAGGAATTGGCCGATCAGTCACTAAAGAATTTAAGTTGCAGGCGGCTGACATCAGTGGTGATTGGCGAGCGCTTCATTGTGAGGCGAGGGCGCCGCCAGATAGCGGCCATGGCCAGTCCCGCACAGCAAAGAGCATTTTCGGAGTATGACTTTGCGGGGGACGCCCGCTGGGTGCAGTACCGGCAGAACCTGGAGATCCCGGTGGGGCGCGACATGGAGCAGGTGCTGGCGCGCTACAAGGCCAAGTTCTACCAACGGCATGTGGTGAGAACGGCGCTGCCCAGAAAGACTCGGGCCAATGTGGAGCAACTCTAAGGTTGTGGCGCACAGTGGAGGAATGTGTGCATCCGCGCTGCTTGTTTACACTTCCAGAGACAATCAAGCAGCCTGCACTCTGCGCACCTGTCGGTGTGCCCCACCCGATTGACTCTCCCCTGTGCCCTCCATGAAAGCCACGATGCTGCTTCCAAGCGGCCACCCCATGAAGACGTTTTGTATCCCCACATTGTGCGCGCTAGCAGGCACTGGCCAATGCATGGGAAGCTGTGTAACTTTTGTAGAATCAAAGTGCGCCCAAATACGCTGGCTTTGTGGCAGGACCCGGACTTTGTGATCGCGCCCTCCCCCGCCCCCGCCCCCTCCTCCACTGCTCGCCCGCCCCCCTCCGGCGGTGCGCCGCGTCCTGCAGCCCACTCCGCGGCAGGTTCGTCTGGCCCGCTGGCTTTTTATGTATCACAGTGATGGGTCATTGGCAAACATGGGCAAACAGAAAAGTAAGAGCAATCTTGTTGGCGACTATTCTGGACTCCCTGGTAGATAGGAGAATGCGGGCAGCCCTGTAGTGCGTGCTTAAACAAGGGCCGTCCAGGGTGTTTGAGGTTTATTAAAGTGTTGAGCCAATGATAGGCCAGCTGATGACCAGGGACTCAGGATGGGTGGGGGGTACCCCTCTGGTGGAAACACGGGGGCCCTTTCCGGGTGCTTGCTCCTCCCCAGCAGCTGGCCATACGCTGGGCCCGGGGGGTGGCCAAGATGTCGCTGCTGGATGTGGTCTATGATGGTGCCCCTTTGAGCGATTCCAGCCCATGCCACAAACTTATTGCAACCATCGACGCCTTACTCACTCCACACGGTGACCAGCAGTGCACTTCTTCACCTTGCCCCCCCGGTCGTTTCACTCCAGGTGCGCAGTCTGCTTCCTCCCCGCCCCCTGCTGCAGCGGGCCTCCCTCCCCGCGTGGGCCCCCTGCCCATTGACCGCGCCACGCTGCTCTTCCTTCTCAACGCCTGGGTACGTCTTCTCCCCCCTTGCCTCGCCCAATGGGCCAATGCGGGTATTGCCTCGAATCAGAGCCAGAGCTTCGGTTGCACAAGAGGCCACCCCCCAGGCCCCCCAGCGAGCCTCTGCCTCCATCACGTCCAAGTGCTGGCATCGACTCTCACTGTGGGTCGCAGTGTCCGCACCCCATTTGCCCCGCTTTTCGACCCCTGTCGCATCCCCTCCCTGCGCCCAGCCCTTTTGTCAGCCTCCCCCGCCCCTTTCTCCGCTGCTCCTCACTCCCTCCCCCCTTTCTGCTGCACTGCGCAGGTGGCGGTGATGGGGCTGGTGGCCTTCTTTCCGCTCATGCCTGCCGCCCTAGCTCGCCGCGCCTACAAGCTGGCGCTCGGAGGCGCGCTGGCCGCCAGCCTGGCCGCCCTCGTCCTGCAGACAGGGGTGAGCGCCCAACTGACCCCCTGCCATGATCTCCGCAGGCCCTCATTGCCTGCGGGGCCTTCGTACTGTGGGGCAGCACTCGTTGGAGCATCGGCCCCGTCTGCTGCCCCTCCTCCCCCCTGGCCTGTGCCCGTTGTTTCCCGTCACCCCACGCTCTGTGTGTCCCCCGTTGCTGCAGCTGCCGCGTACGTGGAACCTGGGCGGGGTGCGCGCGTGGCTGGTGGGGTGCCTGGCCACGGCGCCCTTCCTGGCCGCGCTCTACTGCTTCGTCTTCCTCACCAGCCCGGCCGTGCTCACCAGTGAGCCCACCCAGCCAGGCCACGCCCGGCAAGCCGCTGCCACCCGGCGGTGCTCAACGAAAAGGCTGGGTCGCTGAAAAGCAACATTTCTCTCTCCATTTTCCGCACCGCCGCTGTACCCCGGACGCTCCACCTTTACAGCATGTTTGCGTCCCGTCTTCTGGCTCGCCGCGGCTCCCTCAGCTCTCTCCGTTTGTCGCTGTGTGCAGTGGCCGTGGTCCCCGTGGCCATCCCCGCGCTGCTGCACAGTGCGGCCCACCTGCAGCGCAACTTCGGGCAGGCGCAGCTCTACAGGTGACCCCTCCGCCCCGCCCACCCCATCGCCACAGATACCAACCCCGTACATTGCCCAACAGAGCATGATCAGCAACCGCGTCGGTCGCGCCTTGCCCCCCAGCCCCCTGTCGTGCTGAGCGGCTCTTGTGCGCGTGCAGGCGGTACCTCAGCGGTCCCTGCACGTGGCTCGAGCAGCATGCAGCGCAGGCGCGGCTGCTGCAGGCCAACGCGGAGATCGGGGTCGGCTTCTCGCTCCTCTTCCAGCTGCTCTCGTGAGGACGCGCTTCGCCGCTGTGCACATGCTGCATGGCGGCGAGGCCGGCTTGCAATCGGGAGGATTGCGTGCCTTGACGGAAGAATGCTCCATGCGGATGTTGCACCAGCCTTCTGCTGCACGCGCACGCAAGTTGTTGCTCGCCCCATGACGGCACAGTCGCGTTGTGGATCGAAAGCCGCTCACTTCAAAATTGTTATTGTTGCGTTCTTGTGGCAGGCCACAACGCAGCTTCGTCCAACTCTTCGTCTACTGGAACCTCCTCAAGATCATGTACCACGCCCCGCCCACGTCCTTCAACCACCGCGCGTCATGGGCGGCCATCCAACAGCGGGTGCAGCCCCTTCTCCAAATGGTGCCGGCCATCAATACCCCGTTACAATACGCGCAAAACTGGTTCCAACGGGTGTAATGAGTAATCCATCCATTCACTGTGAGACGTCGACCGGAGAGTTGAAAGGGCTAGGGAGTTTTATGAACCAATACTCATTTCATAGTGGGAGCCTGTTTAGGTCACCTCTCGTACAATCCTAGCAGTTTCAATGTGATAGCTAGTTTGGCAAGCGCCTAGGATTCGTCGGCAAGCTTTTAAGGGGTGGAACCAAGGGAATCGAGAAACGTACTCGGTGAAGCGAACAAAAGAAGATTCGCAGATTTATTGATGGAGCTTTTGACGGGCTCCTTAACTCAGAATGGACCTATTTGAGAGATTGCATGCCTTCTTCAAAATATGTTTCATCACCCCCGGGCTAATCTTAATCAGCTGCTGACATTAGATCATGTAGGTCCACCGTAACACATGCTTTCAAAAGCAAGGCGCGCCATCCAGGATTCACATATTTAGTAGGCAGTATATGCTCCGCATATTTAAAGGACGTGGGACATGCAATCCGGAGAAGGGGGGGAGAAGGGGGGGGAGACTGCCAATCCTCCCTGTGTCCGTTTGTCCGTGGAATCTTGACCGAGCCTTGTCCGTCAATATGTACGCGGATGCGGAAGCGTTGATAGGCGTGCTTGCGACGAATACATCGTAGCTGGCCCGCAAAACCCCCAAATTGATCATTACAAATCTACAAACACATGTATCTTGTGATTTATTACAAATGGTTGTAGCCTCTGTTTTTTTCTCTCCCAATGCGGCTCAGCTACTGCATGGCAATATGCGCGCATCATCGATGACGAATGCACCATATACACAAGGTTGCTTGAAAGCCATGCATGAAATCGTCTCATGATGTTATTGAAAAGCTAGTTTTAAGCTTAGCAGTGTCAGATCGTAGTTCATGGTGCTTCAAGCATGATTGTCTAGGTTGTGTGACGCTGAGTATGGTTCATGATGCCACGGTATATTTGCCACAAGTAGCACATCTACCTTTGCAGCCAGTCGTCGTATTCTCGCATTACCGTCAATGTGATTTTTCATTTCATATCTGCAGCCCCGCCGTACAACAATCTCATACCATTCTATGATTATATAAAGTACGACTTGAAAAAGAGGCGTTTATCAGACAACGTACAAAGGACCAAACTTAAGGTCCAATGAGAACATATGCACCTAGCATTGTATTTCGTTTGGTGCAATTGGCGAGGCCGGCCTGCCCGCAACATTGAGCAATCTATACAATCGAGCAAATCGACTGAGGTACAGTTTACGGGCCGGTAGTGTGTGAAACCGAGTTGTATCGTCAACTGAAGTTGCGTTAAGCGTCAAGAGGCATTCGTGCTTTGTTACTCTAACTCCAAGGGAAGTCTAACGGCGTTTGGCGAGCGCTTCGAAGCTGACCATTTTTCTTGTTGGCCGCTTTTCAGTTATACAGGGACTCAGCTCAGTAGCATCATCCAATTCCATTTAGGAAATGCAAATTTCTGCGCGGGCCTTCACAAAGTGGCTCGGAACAGTCAGGCTTAAATCTAAGAGCACCTTCACATGTGCCTTTGCCATATTCTCAAACTATATGATTCCATATCTAACTTGAGCACGCGTGCAACACATGTTGTATAATTGACAATGTTTTGGTCGCATCACCCTCTCTGCTTGATGCATTATTGCTCATTCAAGGAATTGCATAAGCACCATTATGGGTAAGATATGGGCTCTGGAACGTGCCAAGGATCGAATCACAAGCAAAACTCAATATTTCTAAATGCATTGCGCTTACAAAAGTTTGTAACGATTCTCGGCAAAAGACAACATAAATAGTGGTGGAAGCGCACATGCGATGAAATGAATGAAATGGCGGCCGCGGCCGGAGCTTTCTCTCCAGATCTCAAAAGTATTCCCCAAGTGAGTCGATGTATAAGCGTACGTTCGTCTTTGCAATATAAAACATATAATAGTCGCTTATTACCACTTGTGTCAACCGTCTCGGTCTTACCAATAGAACTTGAAAAGACGTTTGCCTATACTCGTTTGTGAGCGTCTGTCGTGCTTTACATAAAATCTTGGCGGATAGTTCCACGGTTAGAGACAATCTTTGTTATAAATTGTCGGGGTGCAATCACGTTAGCCTATGCTCAAATTGCTTTAGGATGTAACATTCTTCTCGTATATTTTAACAACCAGAAAGAGTTTAGAAATCATACGATTTGAAAAAAAAAGGGAATAATTAGGGAGTTCATTGGATGACCGATTTCATTGAAACCGTTCGTATGTGATGGCAAACGTCGATGTTAAAGGCGTTGAAATGCTAGCCTACTGCTAGCCAAAAAATGCGTTGCTTGAAGGATTTGTTGACGAACAAAGAATAAGCTCTAAACTTTAAGACCTCCGATAGTTGAAGCATAAGGCACACTTTACTCAATCAATGAATGAAGTGGTCAACGCGCCATCCAGCGGTTGCTTGAGGACACTCTGCGGTTAGTAGAACTCATTTAGATGTCGTGCTAGCACCCATTTATATTTCTTCTTTTGTAAGTCGTTTTGGCCGGATTTCGATGATTTTCGCAACACATATAGTTATCATCATGTCATGACATGCTACAACTTGTTTCAACGGCCGAAGCGTAAATATCTACCCATTTCAGTCAAAATCCTTACCTAAAATAGTAGATTGTACCAATCCGGGTAAGTTGAACTCAGAGCTGAAAAGGGGGGAGACTCGCAAAAGAAAGTGGCCTTTAAGATGATTGAAAAGACTTGTAGGGTATCATAGGCGGAAAGGAGCGGCTCGGTTGAGCTGTGTTGAGAAAATGTTATCATAGTCGGCCGAATTCCTTTGATGCGGCCAGAGCTAGGATTTGGACTAGTGAGCGCCGGCGTGCGTGCACGACGATAAGTCGGTTACATCTTGGAGGTTAGGCGGTTGAGAGGACCGTCAATGTAAGCCGTAAATGAGGATATCGAAGGCTAAGACCGAGTGTGGGTGTGCATCAGGCTAGTATGCCTAGTAGTGTATGATTTAGGCTAGTGAGCCTAGTAGGCTAGTGAGCCTAGTGGAGGGAGAGATCCGTGAGACAATAGTGAGCTGGAACACTAATGTCATATATCATTCTTCGAGAAGTTTGTGGAGAAAAGGAAGCCGCTTGTGAGGCGCTTCGTGTGTTTCTGCTAGGATGCATGGCTGCCATCAACGTGTGTAAGCATGAGTGTTGGGTGATACGATGAGACCGATGACAAGTGACCATAGCACAAATCTAGCGCAATCTCAACAAGCTGCGACGCAGTAACTTGTTCGCAAAACGGTCTTGTTATTTCGCGGGACGTCATGTATGTCCCACGGGTGTAGCAACAAGGTTCGTTAAGCAAGCAACAGATGTTGGGACGATGATGTTTCGAAGGAATAGCTGCCAAACCCAGGTAGACGGGGAGGTATTCCTCAAAACTTCCAAAGAAAAAAGCCTGCATCTGGTCTACTTAGTGAAAGTTGAGAGAGATTGGATCTCCGAGGTTGGCGTCAATACCGCGAAGGATTCCTCAACAGCGGAGGGGCATGGCACACGAGTTCAAATGGGGTTCGAGAAGGCTCACGGTTGAATCCTTGCGCAACGATGTTGCGTTCGTTTCTGCGGCCGCACGATAGCCGCCGTGTGCAATTCAAATGAGGGTCACAAAATGAGGGCAAGTATGCACCTTGGCGCGCGAGGGCAAGGCAAAGCCAAAAGAAGTGATAGAGGATACAGGGATGCAAGCACCAGTTGCCCAAAATACTTAGCCCACGGGAGACGCGTACCGGTGGATTGACAACAATGCCAACTTAACGGCGAAGCCGAAAGTTGGGGAGCACCCAAAAACGCAACCGTTATTAGCAATGCTAATGGGAAGGAAAAGTCTGACTTCCAACCAAAGCCGATGGACGAGGAGATGCGGTCCCTAGAAGAGAAGCTCAAGATGTTTAAGTTCGTGCCGTCGAATGCAAACGTGGCGATTTACCTAGAAACTATCCGGTGTGCTGGTATGGTGTGCTGCGTGGACAACATTAGACATGCTCATCGGAGCTCAAGGAGCGGAACGCATCAGGCGGGTAAAAACGCACTTAGGGGAGAGTTTGTCTTCCGCAACTTAGAAAAGGCGAAGTAATTCTCGTAAAGAAGCGGACAAGCGATAGGACGGCGTGCATTTCAAAGCTCGTGTAGAAAGAGTTGAAGGGGAAGCTAGTCGGACGGTAGGGACTAGCGAGCGCTCGAGCCTGCAGCGCACCTTTTGGGACGGCGAAATTGGTGAACTTTGACATGACGGGTTTCCTCTACAATGAGTGCGTGGGAACCCCGCAATTTTGAGCGTGCACCAAGTCTAACGCTGTGCGCAGGGGCAGTGGGCGCACTCGCCCGATTTATGTTAGGACCGACAACAGAGCACAAGCTGATACTTGCAAAAAATGGGGAGACTTTTGGACGGGGTGACTTTTGGAGAGGGCAGAGATATTGTCTTTAATCATTGCGACACGGACAATGCACGTGACAGGGCACGAGGCAATTGACAACGGGATACGTTTTTCTGATGGGCACCAATGTACGAGGGCGGTGAGCTGGTTGAGCTTGATTGTAGCCGATGACGGCACCTTCGCCGGTGAAAGCGGAGAATTTGAGCACAGCGCAAGCGAGGAAAGAGGCGTTGCGGTTCCAATCTGAGGGGAGATTTCGGGTTGGATATCCGGACAGTCCATATTAACTCCAACCAGAAGAGGGCGATACGGCTCTTGAAGCTTTCGATTCTCTACAGAAGTCGGAGGGCATTGACGCAATTCAGCATTCCGCTTGGGTGGGAGCTCGAGGTGAGAAAGCATGTCGGCTTCACGTACTGCAAAGAGGAGAATACGAAGGCGGACGTTCTGACCAAAGCATTAGCTCTTGGCAGATTCAAAAATGTACAAGCGGGGAATCGCACTTGCATAAGTGACTAGTGTGGGGGAGAGTTTGGAGAATCAAGCATTTATTGTGCGCAAACTTGTGATGACGTCGACGAAAGCTCCACGATAACCTGTAAATTAGTTTATGTGGTTAAAACGAGCTGGTTGAAGCGTTACACCCGAATGACGTATTTTCGCAATGAATAGGTCCAGTTTAAGCCGTAGGTGATTGACTACGGAAATTTTTCGGACTTGCTGGACTGAGTCCACAAGGTGCACACTTTGAATCCAATTCAAGAGTGTTAAATGTGTAGTCGATGATAGCACAACATTCGTGCCTTCTATCCTAAACTTGTTGAAACTTTGTATAAACACGGTCATTCAATCGTTCGTTCCCAACAACGCCGTGGCGAGCAAGGATGTTTAATTCGCGTAGTGCAAAACGGAGGACATGGAGGCGGCAATAAGATCCCTCGACAAACAAACTCTGACTCTCAACTCGACGATCTCGAGGTCGTGGAAAAGTCTCTTCGCTCATAACAAACGTTGAAAGTAAAAAGCTGAAATAAGAAACAGAATTAGGTGTCTTCGTCTATG